CGAAGCGCAGCGCAACCAGCGGCTGCGGTATTGACCACAGACAGGAGGGAAGCATTTGCCAGACAACTCCAGATAAAGCAAAGACTAAGAGTGTAAAAATACCCTGGGATTTTTCCATCGTCGTCGTTCACGGTGTACATCCCAGAGCACCCAGATACGGTTGTTATAAAAAGAGAAGTGGGGGAGTGCTTCGGCGTGGACTTTTCTGTTCTGTTTCATGAGGCTCTTCCACCGCATATCGAAGGAAGGATTGACAAGATGTGATCTGCTCTGGCAGGGGCTGGAGAAAGCCTGGGACGTGCGAGGCGCTGCACCGCGTACTGGAGATGGAGCGATGAAGGCAGGGGTGGCTGCGGGGGCTGGTGCAATGGCTTTGCCGGAGGTCACCCGGTGTCACCTGGGAAGGTGAGGATGACTGCAGCATGGCATCGCTCAATCGAGGGCACAAAAGGGGGAAAAGGGTTGAAAAGGAGGGAAGGGAAGCCCAGGCTGCAGGGCTGGAAGTGGCTCTTGGCCCCTGAAGACCCATTTGGATGACAGCTTCAATGCTGCAAGGCCGTGGCGGAGATTCCGGCTTCCCAAAGTGCTGGGGGGCTTCCTCAGGCCATGAAATATGTGTTTGCCGGGGACAGGGCAGCAGAGGGATGGAGAGGCGTCTCTCTGGACCACAGTGTCCTGCCTAGCATCTCCCAGGGTGCCCCATGCTGCACCCGCCAGCGTGGTTTCATCCCACTCCCCAGGAGTTGCTGCTGACCCCCCCCAGCTTCCCCCTCCACATGCGGGTCCCAGGAGGTAAAGCAAGCTCCAAGAAAGGTCCTCGGGCATGTTTTGGGATTCATATCCCTGTCTTTGGCCAGGCTTTCCTCCCCCTCATCCATGTGACAGGCCTGTTTGGGATGTGAATGTCATCCCCTTTTGCTGGAGGCATTTCCGAGCCTCCCCCCGCTACATCCCATTTTGTGTTTCAGGTTTCCATGGAGCAACGAAACCTGGAACCTTGTCAGGGGATGTGAATGTCATCCCCTTTTGCTGGAGGCATTGGTGAGCCTTCCCCCCCCACATCCCATTTGTGTTGCACGTTTCCATGGAGCAGCCGTTGGAACTGAGCTTGCACAGGGGTGGGGCTCCCAGTATGGTCCCTGGCCTTGGTGAGTTGACAGCATCCATTTTGCAGGTAGGGATGTCAGCAGTAGCCCTGGGCTACCAGCTGCTGAGGAGGGACGGTGGCCACATCACCTCCCGGTGTGACATCTCCGGAGGGGGTGTAATGCAAACGCCAGCCCACTGCGATGGCAGTCCCCAGCCCAGGGCTTCTTGCCCGCCTGTCTGCCTTTTCCTATGGCGGCACCGTGCGCTGTGGGGGTGTGTTGGGGTGGAAGTGGTAACTGGGTTTATTTTCGTTCGTCTCCTGGCTCGTGCCGCTCCGAATTTGTTGCACCGGGTATTACTAACGCTTCCCTACGCCAGCTGGCAGCAGGGGATGAATCAGATCGGCAGCACCACGGCACGGACCCCTCGCCGGCCGGCCGGCTCGGGGCGATGCCTCTGGCCAAAGCGCTGGTGATGTCTCCTGCCTCTGCCCAGGCTGAGCCCTGGCACCAGGATGCCAGCGGCTTGATTTTGCTGCCGGAGATGTCTCGATAGCCTACGGGACAGGGTTGTCCCCTCTGCCCCACGCTGCCTGCCCGGGGCTGGCCTGTCCCTGTCCCCCCTTGCCCACTGGAGGTCTCGGGTGGCCTCACGAGCTCCTCTTTGCCCACCAGCAGCATCCCCAAGCAGGTTGCTGACCACTTGGGATCCATCTTACCCTCCCGCTGCCAAGCTAAAGCACTTCTGCAGCAGATCGATTCCTCGCCCCACCCCGTCCTGACCTTAGAATGGGCAGTGAAGTCACACAATGGCATCACAGACCTTGAGCATTCCTACCCTCCACAGAGGCACAGAGGTGCTCAGTCCTTCTCTCCGCTCCGCCCTGAACAGACTGGTTGGTGATCTGGACAGAGGGATTTTGGTGACCGCTTCTTCCCCGACGAGTGCTGCTGAGGCCGCAGAAGTTGGCACACCACTTGTCAGCGTCACCTGCGTGACCCGGGCTTCAGGAGGAAAATTTGGATCCTCTCGCTGCAGCCCAAATCATCCTGCAAAATGTCATGGCTGCTTGACATCTCTGGGGCAATGGAGACGGTCTGCCCAGAATCTCAAGGCTTGGAATTTTATGACTACGACGACAACGATGACAAATTCAGCTACTTCTACCACTCCGCACGTCGTCCATCCCAGTGGAACAACTTGGGTGGTAGTCAGGGGGAGAACCTGGGAGAACCCATCCCATTTTCCCTAAATACCAAGCACTCTGAATTCAGCTACTTCTACCACTCCCCACGTCGTACCAAGCACTCTTACATGGTGGAAGACAAAGGAGAGAAAAATGGAATACATGCCAAGATGTTGGCCAAGCAGGCACTGGAGCTTGAGGAGGAAGCTCAGGAGTTTCAGGAGCCATTTTACAAAGGTATGGAAATGTCTGGCAGCCTGTCTGAAGACAAGGGCTGCAACTGGTCCTATTACCCTCCTCCACGTCAAAGATCTCATCTTCTCCAAACCGCCCGTATGGCACCGTGTGGCTCCCATGACCCTTTCCAGGGTAGCACTGAGAAGTGCGTGGGGTTGGATGCCTTTGCCTCACGGGCCCATGCCAGTGAGCCCTATCTGGGGTATCCAAAGCGTACCATGGGAGGAGAGCCCCAAATGCTGCACGAGGAGGCCATCGAGGATGGGGAATCCCTGCACCTGACCTACGACATGCTCAGGGAAGAGAATGTCATGCTCAGGAAGATGGTCAGGAGCATGGAGAGCTCCTTGGAGAACCAAGCATGCACAGTCAAGAGGCTGGAGGGGCAGCTGAAGGTCAGCCTGGCCAAAGAGGAGAGGGAAGCCCAAGAGCTACAGTCCTTTGTCCAGTGCACCAAGTGGAATCTCCAACTAATGACCCAGCGGGCTCTGGAGGCTGAAAGCAACGTGGAGAAACTGAAGCAGGAGATCTTTATTCTCCAAGGAGAGCTGGAGAGGTCTCAGATGGAGAACAAAAAGCTGAAAGCGGGCCAAATGACCGACCTGGGAGCAATGAAGAACAACGTAGACTTCGCCTTGCAGAACCTCGAGAAAATAATAATGGTTGCAAAGTGGTCCAGCAGACAGCTCACCTCTGGAGCGGATCACCTGTGTTTTGTTGCTGAGGTCCTTAAATCTACTGACAAAATTTCTGAAGCTGAAGCAGGAAAAGCGTTTTGAATTCAGTTCTGTGTGGGTCCTACGGATCAAGCGTATGGACCAAGACCACAGTTCTTCAACTACAGCCTATAATAAAATGTTTGTGTTCAAATTCATAGCCTTTACTGTTCATGGTAATACTTTTGTCGTGATCAAGTACAAATTGCAGGTAGTGATGCAGTTTTAGCTGCTGATGTTGCGTTCTGGCACCGTGGAGCCAGCAAGCAGATGTTTCCCAGGTTCTGAGCTGCAAGGTCCAGCCGTGGTGGGCTCTG